CCCCAAAACCCCAAAACCCCTAATACTATTTCTCAAGAATGATTTAGAAATTTGACAAATTTAAATGGGTTGCTACTAGGTTAGAAGAGCGGAAGATGAATTTTTAGACGAAATCGAGCATATTAGAGAGGAATAGTAGACCTTAAGCCTTAAAAAAAGATAAAATGAAAATAAATCTCTTATTAAAAGAGTTTATTCGAAGTGGGATTTCGGTAAAATTGGGAAAATAACAGAAATCGCAAATTTAAGTGCTGTCAAAAAAGAAGATTATTTTAATTAAAGAAAAGAAGGAGTCATCAGGCTATAGAAATTAACTGATAATGTAGTAATAACAGCACATATTGATTTAAAAATGTGTATTTGGGACATTTAGAATTGCTAACTGCTATTTATGATAGATGTTCCTCTAAGTATAGTAGACATAAGAGTAGCAGAAGGTAAATTTCTGGCTGCTGTTTTAGGTGATACTTCTCCCCAGGGAAAGTAATATTTATATATTTGGGAATCGATCATTGAATAATTCAAATATAGTGATATCAAATTAATAGGAAAATTTGATATTGAGAATTAGATTACTTGCCTTACTTCATTAGTATTTTCTCATGAAAAGTACCTCATATTAGCCAGCTTATATGGTGACTTAATAGTTTATGATATGGAGACATTTGAAAAATCAGAGGAAATAAACATTCATAATGGATGCTAGATAAGTGACATAAAAGAATGTCTTACTAATTTTAGATTACGAGGTTGTATCATTACTGGTTGTGCTGATGGGACAATTAAGATAACTTCTTTAAGATTAGAAAAAGAAAAAATAGCAGAAATAGCTGAAATGAATTGTGGAAAGTAAAATCCAGTGACCTAGGTATCTGAATTAAGAAATTATATGATAGTTGCCTCATCATTGAACAAGATCTTCTTTTGGGTATTAGATAATCCTAAGTAGCCTATTAAGATTTTTGACACTCATACAATGCCTATTCATAGATTATTAACTATTGATGATGGATTATATTTGCTAAGTGTAGGAGGAGATGGAAAACTGGGAGTTTGGAGGGGTAAATAGTAAAAATTGTTATATCATTCCCCAAGACTTCATTCAGAAATTATCACAGATGTATTAAAAGTAGGGGATAGAATAATTACAGTTTCTCTGGATAAAAATTTAAAAGTTCACGAAATCATATATCTATTCAATAACTATGAGTGGATAAAATGAATTTTTCTAGTGGTCAATAGCTTTAAATTTAGATAAGACTCATTATAAATAAGTTTGTTTATGAAATTAAGATTAAATTTTAACTCAATCATCTTATTATTATTATAATCCAAATTAAGTTCATTATGATCTCATAAGTTTTTCCTCTTCTCTTCTCTTACTTTCTTTAAGTCTCTTAAGTATTTGATCATATTTTTCGTTTTACTGTTAAATCTATATCTTAACCTTAGGATTTGCTTGCATCATATTAGCATACTCTTTTTTATAGTGACTATGATTATCATCTGCATTATAACCATCAAATATCCCATATGTAATATTTCTCTTAAAAGATAAATCATTTCTCGAGTTTATATTCTTGTCAATAACTCCTTTTTAATTGTTTGACTTATCATGTAAATATTCTTTTTTCAAATTCTCCACACTTCTTACAGGAGAGATACTATTCTAACTTCTGTTATTTCTGAAGGGATTTTATCTTTTCTCATCTCTGGTGTTGTCATTCTCATCTGATGATGTGAGTACTTCATAATCTCTGTTTCTTAAAGCTTAAATATCTTCCATATTTGACGGGGACATTAATTTCTTAAAATGGCTGACATTTGCTATCTCAGTGTTCTAAATCGATTCAAGTTCTGATCTTAAATCTTCACTTTTTTGCTAAATATATATTTGATTTTCCTATTCTTGTTCCATATTATTTACAGTTTTTGTCAGTACATCATTAATCTTTTAACTATTGACTCCAGTACCATATTTATTAGTTTATGTGTTATTAGTTGTGCTTACTGATCCCCTAGGACTTAAAAATTACTTTGATTTAGTACTATATGTTCCTGATTAATTATGATCATAAGAACTTAGTTCCTAAGAAGACCTAAGTGGATTACTATCAAAATTCCTCATGTTTACTTTAATCAGAGGTTCTTTTTAGCTGATTTGCCTGAAATCAAAATATTTAGGATTATCTTGCTTAATAATGGGTCTTCTACTATCTAATTCTATTTACATATCCTTGATCTGATCCTTGAGACGCTGTTCTATATTCCTTTTTTACTTTTTTATCTCATCAATCGTGATCTGCTTTGGTTACTTTTTATGATTTTCAGAATATCTTTAAGGGGATGGAAATTGAGCGTAACCATTGAATTTTTTAGTATTTACTTGCAGATTTTGAGCTGCTGGCTTAAGAGATGGCAATTTTGTAAGAGAGCTTTAAACACTCAAGGATTTTTCAACTGTATCGTAAACGCTTTTCATATTGATGCTTCAATTACTAACCTACTATAGCTGAGTTTTAAGCTTTTAGCTTAAATAATCCGTTCTAACTTTTTCAACATCTTCATCTATTTCTTTAGGCAAATATCTATTTCCCTATACTAAGCCTCAAGAATATCATTATTACCTTATCATTAAAAGCTTAATTGACTCTCTACTGATATTTGTAATTGCCAGTGACCTTGGGAAAGAAGTTAGCTTCTTTGCTTCCAAAGTTATCGCAATTGTATCTTGTACCATTCATTTCAATGATTTTGCTCTTTCCTGTCGTTGGATCTCTCCAAATTTGCTAATCTGGCATTTCTTTTTTCTTTTACTCATACATTAAATCCATTTTGAAAATACTAAATTAATTATTCCAACCTAAATATTAATTTTATTATTATCCTTTAAAAAACTTTTAAGAAGTTAACTCTTGGGGTTTTGGGGTTTTGGGGTTTTGGGG